CCAAGCTCCCAAACTCCCAAGCTTCCAAATTTCCAAGCTCCCAAACTCCCAAGCTTCCAAACTCCCAAGCTCTCAAATTTTCAACCTTCTAAATTTTCAATCTATCAAAATTTTAAACTTCTAAATTTCCAACTTTCCAAATTTTTAAATCTCTAAATTTCCAACTCTCTAAATTTTCCACCCTTCAAATTTTCAACCCTCCAAATTTCCAATCCACCAAATTCTCAACTCTCTAAATTTTCCACCCTTCAAATTTCCAACCCTCAAAATTTCTAATCCACCAAACACCCAAACTCCCAAACTCCCAAGCTCTCAAACTCCCAAGCTCTCAAACTCCCAAGCTCCCAAACTCCCAAGCTCTCAAACTCCCAAGCTCCTAAACTCCCAAACTCCTAAACTCCAAAGCTCCTAAACTCCCAAGCTCCCAAACCTCCACGCTCTCAAACTCTCAAACTTCCAAACTCCCAAGCTCCCAAATTCCCAAGCTCCCAAACTCCCAAGCTCCTAAACTCCCAAGCTCCCACATTATCAAAAGGCATTTCATCCTATAAAATATAGTCGAATTTTGTCCTTAGCAAAGCGTCTCAATCCAGAAATCCCAATTATACCAACTCCCATAGAGCACGTTGAATAGAAAAGCGGATGGTAACCGATGATTACACTCAGATCCATTTATCTGCGTTAACGCCTATTGAAGTGGCAATTGGAAGCCGGTGCACACTTCCACGTCGAGCGAAGTATACATAAATTCATTTGGGCCTGACTTTATTACCGTTTAAAAAGTGCCGGCCAGACAGGAAAAAGAAAAAAGTAATCGTCATTTCATTCCTTGCCACTCGGATATTTCCAATCGAGACTTATAATTATTCCATTGACACAATTGATCCACGAAATCCAGAAGCTCTGATATTTAATTTTGCAGCTCTCAGATTTGCAAACTTCTTTCGAATTATTTCCAGTCAAGACTTATTACAAGAACAATAATTATTCTTTTGACACAATTGATCTACGAAATCTAGAAACTCTGAGATCTAATTTTATAGCTCTCAGATTTGCGAACTTCTCGATTATTTTCAATCGAGACTTTATAATTATTTCATTGACACAATTGATCCACAAAATCCAGAAGCTCGAATATCTAATTTTGAGCTCTCAGATTTGCGAACTTCTTTCGAATTATTTCCAGTCAAGACTTATTACAAGAACAATAATTATTCCATTGACACAATTGATCCACAAAATCCAGAAGCTCTGATATCTAATTTTATAGCTCTTGCGACTTCTTCCGAATTTTCCGAATACCCTGTTAATTAATCAGACTAGCGCGAAGGTTCCTTACACGCGTTAACGCAGAAGCATCGATATCTCGACAGACAAGATCTCAGATGACCTGTAGATTGCGTAGGTCTCGAGATCTAGCGATATTCAAAGTTATAAGAAGTACGAGATCAGGTACATGTGCTCGACGAACGACATTCATTACAAATTACCTGTAACGATTTCGAATAATCTGCGTTAAAGATCGAATACGATTCTCTGATCTAACCGAACTTTCTAAAGCTTATGTGGCACACGATCTAATTCCCAAGATTTTTAATTTTGACTTTCGACTTTTTACTCTATTTGACTCGTTTGCTGTTGACTTTATTTGATAATTTGATTATTTTGGATATTTTGAAAATGAAAATTTCGTAACAATGCCGACGCGGTTCAATCGGGGTATCGATATCGTGCGGTTATTAATAGAATTAATTCGAGGTCAACGAACTATCATTGCCTTGATTTGTTCGTTTTGTACGCGTCGCACGACTGTCGAGCTAACTAATGCGATGTATTATAGGAAAGACTATACGTATTCATCTTAACGGCACTTTCATTCAATCCGTCGCCGGTCTATTAGACAGACGTGCAGAAATTACACGCTTTACACGACACAATATTGGTACTGTCCACCGTAATTAATATCCTTCTCTGATACGTTTATAATCCATACCGATGCGATGGTGTGCACCTTCCCATAATCGTAACACAATGATGCTCGTTCCGAACGCTCGTTCGCCGTTCGATAGATCGTGCGATTACACGAGGAATTCGATTGTTTGGAATATAAGCAATACTATCGATAGAATGTTCGAGTAATTAGGTACGGTATTGTGCACGGAAAAGAATGATCATCGTGCGGCTCGGAACTTATTCATCGTTATTTCATTCGATCAATTTGAATTTCAAATTATCATTTTCTCTGCTCGCTGAAAATTGATGATACTTTATACCGTAACTGATACGGCCATCGCTTTGTCGCGTGGAAAGTGCCATCTAACTAAATGTCTAATTTATAGATAAAAGGAAAGTGTGACTCGAGCAATTACTGCGGTTAAAAAACGGTATCTGTTTATAAGAACAACAAGAATTCTCAGGAAGCGATCCAATGAATCGAAACACGAGTAAATAAGACATATTTCCGACCTCATGAAAGCTTATTTATAAGAACTTATTTTTCATTCGAAAATAGTTTCTCAAATCCAAAGTGCGTCACTAGTTGTCTGTATTTATATGTCTCTATTCTATATTCGTACTTCGATTTATATTTTCATACGTGCAAAACAACTTCGAATAAAGTATTCGAAATAATTCCGTTAACTGGATTAAGGTATACAGTAAATAAATTTTTCTGTAAATTTATCAAAAATTAGGTTACCTGATTTTCCAACTCTGGGGCCGCCGAGGACGACCACCCTGATCCTGTTGACGTTTGTCATCAGACGTGGATGTTAGGTGTCATTCGAACCGCCCTTGCACATTATATACTGTCCGATCAACACTGTTCGCGTTGTTTATCACCATAAAAAATGTATTCACATCGCGCACGTACGCAGAACGACCGCAAAAAATTGTTTACAGGCAGATTACTTCACGAACGTCAATGTTTACACAAAGAGAACCGTTAAATTCGACAGAACTCTGTCCGGTTCGTAACAAGCTTTCGTATACACTCGAGACAATTTCTACGACGAGGATCTGTTTCTTCGATAATTTTGTCTCTGTACAAAGCTTCTATTTATTCACTTGGTAGCACTCGGTTGTTCTTCCACTAATCACGTTCGAACTACGGACAACTTCACGGAGCAGTTTGAAATGCGACGTTTATTCCAACCACGCTCCCCAACGGCGCGATAAACTGCGTTGAGTAACAACCACCTTTTCAGACTCGACGACACATCGATCTTTCGAAATGTCGCTCTTGTGATTCACTGTTAGATCGTCGCAATCACGAAGTCGGTGCCGAGCGTCTCGAGACGATTTTGCAACGGAGAAACGGCCATTACCGACTTACCGCGTTTTGCAGATTTCTGGAATCGCGCGCAGTGTCGCCACGAGCAACCCTCCTTTTTTTCCTTCGAAGTTTGTCACCGATAACGAAGATACACTAAAGAAGAGCGTGGTGCCGTCAAAAATGCCGCTTTCTCGTTCTCGAGATTTCTCTTTTTTCCTTTCGAAAACACTTTCCAGCCCGGCCACGATTCGACTGCGCCTCCTGGACCACGGTGATGATAATGTCGGCGGCGGACGACGTTCCGGTCGCACCGCGAGCAAACATGCGGGCCAGTGCGCCGACACGCTGCGAATAATAACACAAGAAACGATTCAAGAAATGCTGTCTTGCTAGTTCCATTTATAACGGGTCGACGGCCTCCCTCCTCATCTTCTCTTCTCGCTTGGTGCCGCCAACGTCGGCTCGTTCCGATTACGAAAAAAAGGTTAGACGGCGCGCGCGCGCGCCACCGAGC